TGGAGCATGGATTCTATGAGAAAAGGCTAGGTAATTTTCGAAAAACCCTAAAGAGAACCTCACAAAAGGAAGCACACTTGGAGATGAGAGAATGACTGAATTGAATCAGATTTTTCTCCCAAAAATCTGACCTATGTAGCGCCCAATGGTGGAGGAATAAGTGGAGTTGTTGCAATTCAAATCTAGCCAACAACCGCCTATCATATCCTCACGAGACTAAGTCTATACCTAGTCAAAAATCTGAATTAATAACAATCATATGGCCAGCCATATGGTGCGCCCTTATTCAGCCGAAAAAGAGTCCAAATACATTGAGTAGTTGCATTCAAATTTGAACCAACTCACTCACTTATTCTCTCAACCAACCAGATTTGATTGGAGCTTATTTGGTTGATCATATGACCATCATAAGACCCCAAAATCAGCGCCCCAAATCAGCCTTGGATGATGCCCAAAGATCTCCTCTTGAAACTTGGGATTTGTTCCAACAAGATCTTATCTTATCCTTTTGTTATGAAACAACTTTTCATAGCCAATTCAAATTCGAATTCATACATTTAAATTCAAACGTTCAAACATTTAAATTCAAAATTCAAATTCAAAATTTAAATTCAAAATTTAAATATTTGATAATTAATTTAACTAATTTAATTAATTAATAATGTCTTGGACCATCCAAGCCCATTAAATGTACCATGCGCCCTTTTCCTCTTAGGTGGGCTTCCAAACTTCTTCTTGGGCTAACAACCTTTATTAGGCCCAATACCTTTAATGTTATATTCATCAAGACAATAAGGTGTTAGTGTGTGACCCATTAGGCCCAACATAGCCACTGACATAAATGGGCTTGGGCCCAACAAGCCCACAACTCATTTAATGACAACACAGAGCACTAGCAATGCTTTGTTGTCCCAGAGCTAGTTAGGTTAATGACATGATCATCCTATTACATATATTTGGTTACCGTATGTATTTTTTTTCGTCTCGGTTACCTTCCCTTTAAACGGTGAGAAAATGTATCAACCATTGCGGTTTAGGGTAAGCTTTAATTCGAAATAGGGAATCTTTAATTTACTGACTCTAAAGACAGATCATCTCATGATTCCTGAGTCCTGTAAATGTCATCCCGATTTCTCCGGTTTACAGATAAGCTAATGCCTTACAGAGATTTGACGAATTCCTTCAGCTTATCACCATAGGCCTGTGCTCTTTCAAGACATGCCCAAAAGTATACCTATGAGTCTCCATGTTTCAGGAAAACGAGGTATACAATCAAAACATGCCTTCTAAAACACAGTCTAGGTGACAACTTATGGTCTAAGGAAAGACATACCCAAATATTAAGAGACTGCTCTAATGATACTTTTGTAAGATTTCCTCATTGAGTCTCTTTGTGGGTCTGTTCAGTGCGAGCTATACCCTTATAGGTCCACCCACGACTTTAGCTAAGACATCTTCATATCTGTAGCTCATGAGGTTTTTACCTTGTATCCGAATACAAGTAGATAAGTCGTGCTAGTCTTACCCGAGATTACTGATCCCCATTCTCAGTGTCTCTAGACTAAGAACATAAAATTAGGAATAAACATATGGTATCCTTAAATCCTCATGATCATGATCTCATCACAGATACTCAAGAGATACCTATTTTATTCCAAGGGATTTATCCAGTTACTCATATAATATATTAACAATAATATTGAGACAAAATATGAAACAGGATAAAGAGTGCTTATTATTTATTTGCGACAATCTAAAAAGGTCCACATATGTCCTAATCTAATCAAAAGATTGTCTCTAGGATATCCATATACTAACAATTACTGGTTTGGAAAGCGTATCTTTCATTATAATTTATTGATGTAGTTATGGTTAAATAGGTGCTAATTAAGTATATATGTTTAATATTATATAATAGAGAAGATTATACTTACAACATATTTTCGTTTATAATCTCTTACAATCATATTTTAACCGTTGATTTTCGTCAATCTAACGGTTATAATTTATTGGATCACATTGATTAATTATTAATTTTCAATAAATTATAACCGTCGGATTGATGAAAATCAACGGTTAAGATGTGATTGTAAACGAAAATATGTTATACGTATATCTTTTCTCTATATAATATATTAAGTAAAAATGTTATATTTACAAATTTTTTGCTTACAAACTATATTACGTCTTACTTTTTGAGCGAAGTCTTATCAGTAAGACATAATATAGTTTGTAAAAAAAAATTGTCAATATAACTTTTCCAATTAAGTAATAAAATAACATAAAATTATAAAAAATTAAGTAAAGTACAATTTTAAATTAGTATAAAATTATATATCGTGTAAACTAAAAATTAATAATAAAAGGCTAAATGCAATTTGTATGTGGACTTTTATTTGTTTCAAAAATATTTTTTGTTGAATAAAAAACTTTATAAAATTAATTTTTCACCGCCAGTTTTTATTAGTTTTTATCTGTTTTAGACTATTTGACGAATTTATTGTTCGATTATCTGAATTCTATAAAGACTGAATCATCATCACTAATTTGCAATAATTTCCTAAACCAGCGTTCATTTTGCTTGAGAAGGCATTCAAGTGAGTACAGTACTAATTTTATTCTTCAGGAAAAGGGTAACGTATCCTTGATATGTCTGCACCTGAGTAATCATTAGGGGCAAAAAAAGGAAAACAAATATTTCAGATATGCGAGGGTCTGTTTTGGAACTTTTGCCAAGTAACTTGAAAAGTGTAACTATGATGTTAGTTTCAACTTTCTGAATGTAAAGGTCACTAGTTAATTACATTATCAATGTCAAATTAAAATGAAACAAAGATTAATGTTTATTCATATAACATTTGGCATTTTGGCTGATATATTATGTATAATTCCTTGAAAGGAGAAAAAAAAACTACTGGTGAAAGCACAGTCCACGTTTCCTTTGAGTCTGATGAAGGTGATTTTCTTATGGAATATTATAAGGGATATTTACTCTTGCAAGTAAAAAGAAAAAGAAAAAAAGAAAGAAAAACTCTAATTTTGGAAAGTAAGATGCCTATGAGAAAGAAAGAGAGAAAAGAGATGAGGTGATATAATTAACGGCAGGTACATATGATAAGGACATAATATCTGTCTCTTTCGCAAATAAATTTGAGCAACCGAGGTTCGAGGCAGCTTCATCCCTTTTGTTTGTTTCCTCATCAATTGTTTTTAATTTTTTTTATCACTACTATATTATAATATTAAAATTAATATTCTGGGTCTACCAGGTCAACCTGAAGGCGACTAGAATTTTTTTGGTGTTATTAATGTATTGAATTTTTTTATGTATCTTTCACTTACAATGTGAATTTTTTTTATCAAATTATTAATAAATAATATATTTTAATATAGGTGAGAGAATAATTTCACAAAAACTAAGACACATGTCATATTATAAATAAAAATTGGGTTCACTTTTTCTATAATCGATGTAGATAACTTATTTACATTGAGCTAAAAATGATGTTGTTTTTAGAAAGAAATTAAGGTATTTTTGTAATTATAATTTATTTCAGGGTTATAATAGTCTTTTTCATTATAATTTTTAATTTTTCAACGCAAAACGATGTCGTTTTGAGAATGAATATAGATAACTTATCTATATTCACTTTAAAAACATTGAAGAGATAAAAAATATACCAAAAGTTCGTAGCATCGATAAATTTTCGAAGGCGACATACTAGGTTCTGCCTGTATATACTACTCAGTGCTACAAATGGGTATGGGTGGAAGTTAATGTTATAACCAGAAAAATAACTAATAATTGAAACCAAATCAGAATCCTATGTATAATGTGTGGTCTATTTTCTACTTTACCCAAAATCACAAATTATTACTATTTCGCAGATAACCGATATCAATTCCGGTCTATGTGGTGGAGTGAGTCTGGTATAGAATGGAAAATTGATAATGCATATAACTTGGGCTTAGTTGAAAGTTGCTTAATTATATTTTAGTTGATTTTAATACTAAGGCAATTTTTATAGACACATTATAAGCTGTAGAGCCTAAAGAATAATGAAAATAGCCAATGAGGGTTGATTGTACTGTCCCAAACATTTACTTCAATTCATCCCTCTTATTGGTTTCTGAGTTCGAATTTCTGTATTAAAATTTAATAAGGAATAATATAAAATGATCAATTGAGTGAAAAATTATATATAAAAATATTTACCACAATTATTTAACCTTTCAAGATGTGACATCGAAGACATTTTTTTTCAGCAGATCATCTCAAGATAAATAAAGAATAAAATATTTTTGGTTCGTCGATAAAAATTATGGAGTCTAATTTAACTCCTTACAAAAAAATTTACTTCTGATCATTCTGAAATTTAAAATAGATCCAATTAGTTGAAATTATGATTCTTCTGAAATTCAAAAAAGATCCATATTAGTTTCTAAAGAAGACTAACGTAAATTTATTTTGAATTTGGAAGAATAACAAGTCATTTTTTTTATAAAAAATTAAATTAGGTCTCATAATATTATTAGTTGAGGATCTAAAATGTATTTTATTTTTAAATAAAACATAACATCATCACGTGCTGGAATTATAATCATACAAATTAAAGTATATCGATGCTCGTAAGAAAATAGAGAAAAAATATACTAAAATAATTAGTTATAAAATTATCACTATTAATTTGCCATTATATGATGGGTTTGATATTTGTTATTTTAAATGACACAAGTTATGTTATTTTAGAAGATAAATAAACACAAGGAATGAAAATCGTGAGAGAGATAGTAATTGATTTTTTTTTAAATTTAAATTTTAAATAAAAAAATATTATGTATTTATCTCTGATATAACTTTATGTCATTTAAAATAACAAATATTTTTTCCTTCTATGATTATGATTTTTTTTCCTACACGACGATGTTTTATTTCAGCATTTTCCTTTTTTTCTCTCTTTCTCTAATACTTAATTAAAATATTAAATACTCTCTTCATCATGACGGCCACGCTGAGAATCCTCCATTCCACAAACAGCGCCACGGCGGCGGTGCCGCCGGAGGCAATGCCGGTGGGTTCAGACTTCATCGTGATCCTAGCGGCCCTTCTCTGCGTCCTCGTATGTCTGGTGGGCCTCATCGCCATTGCCCGCTGCGCCTGGCTCCGCCGCCGAACTGTCGCCGGAAACTCTTCGAGACAGACCCTCGCTAACAAGGGCCTAAAGAAAAAGGTACGGCCACGGGTTCCACGTGACCTGCATAGACACTTGGCTTGGGTCCCACTCCTCGTGCCCCTCCTGTCGAGCCATATTAGCGGTGGCTAGGTGCCAGAAATGTGGCCAGTACCCGGCGGAGCCGCCACCGTAGCCGTTTCCAGTGAAATACGTATGTGCAGTCATTAGCATTAGCAACTTTTCAATCACAAACAATAATATGTCAGTATGTCACGGCTGTTCCAACACTAACTCTCAAATAAATGTGCATTTACTTATGGTTTGTTGCGTTGTTCCCTACACAACTTCAATTCTATTTATTATGCACTTCGATTTGCCGAGTCAAGTGAAATTGAGTTTCTGTCTTTGATTTGATGTATTAACAAGACAAACAATTCCTAAGACCTAAAAAGGAGGAATGAGAAGTTGTTACGGTTTTTTATTTTATTATTTTTTGAATCGTTGGGTTGTTTAAGTAACGAGTAATTATTTGAATTTTAACTTTCCTAAAGAATAAGTCATGGCTATTAGTGGAGCCTATCTAGTATTAGTATTAGTAGGTAGTTATTTTTAAAGTTGTCTTGCATTATCTATTTAAACCTTTGAGTATTTGAATAAAAGTATCAAATCATATTAGACAAGTTATCCCTAATATGATTTGATACTTTTATTCAAATCATATTAGACAAATTATCCCTACCCAATGGGTGCAGCTCAGTTGATAATTTGGCGCTGAGTTAGTGGGGTTGAATATGTGTTCGATTCTCGCTGAATGCATTCTTAGGGAGGGGGCTGAACCTTTAGCCATCACTGTTCCCCCGCACTCTGGATTAGTCCCATAGCCGGCTCAAAGAGTCGAAGCTCGTGGGGATACCGGAGGGAGCCAACTCGTCTCAAAGAGATAATTAGGGATGGGTAACTCCAAAAAAGACAAGTTATCCCAAAAGGCACCCTGTCCAAGAGGTCAGGCTTCCTCAGTAAAGCCATTTGAGTCCGGCTTTCTCAATAAAGCTAAATTTCCATTTTTATTTAATAATATGTATCAAAGCTCAGGCATGGACAAGCGTGTTCATAAATTAGAAGACGCAGTCCAGTCTTTGTCAGAGCAATTCAAGGAGATGTTCAATCAATTCTCCAACCGGTTGGACGTTTTGGTGGCTAACAGGCCCAACACCCTCTCATCTATTATTGGGCTGGCAAAACTGTACGAGGTTCGCGATTAGAAGATCATCTTTAGTGCTCATAATGTGCGACAGACCATAACTCTCAGCAACACCAAGGGTTAACCTTTATCCACTCCCACATGCGGTGTTGCATCTTTCGGCAGTGGCGCCTCCTCCACGACTCTCGTTCGCTATAATGACGCATTCACTCCAGGCCATCGCTACAAACAATTGTTCACCATCCAAGCAGTGACAAAAGAGAGCGACGATGAGGCGGTGATGGACAAAAGTGAAGGAGAAGCAGATATTGAAGATGATTCAATTACTTGAATACTGAATTTACTCTTGAGGACAAGAGTTATTTGTAGGGGAAGGAAATTTTAGTGGGTAGTTTATTTTTAAAGTTATCTTGTATTATCTATTTAAAGCTTTAAGTATTTGAATAAAAGTATCAAATCAGATTAGAAAAGTTATCCCAAAAGGCACTCTGTGCAAGGGTCAGGCTTCCTCAGTAAAGCCATTTGAGGTCAGACTTTCTCAATAAAACTAAATTCCCTTTTTTATTTATTGTGTTCATAACAAAGCGTATTGTATTAGGTGATGACAAAACTGACATAATCCTACGTTTTCTAACCTTTGTTTTCGGTCCCATATTTTGCACAAACGAAAATAGATTAATATATGAGTTCTACTTATCTTATGTTATATTATTGGAAAAAAATTATTTTATTTAAAAAAATAATTATGTAGTATGAATAATATATAATTATAATGGTAAAATTATTTCTTATCTCTATCACATCACTTGACAATGTCTAAAGAGAGAAAAAAATAAAATAGTTTTAATATTATAACTATATATTACTCGTAATATATAATATTTTTTTTGCGTGAGATAATTTGTTTTCAACAAGATAAGAAAATAATATATTTAATCTACTTATTAATATCATAAACTTAGGTAGTGCTTGACTGCTTGGTACTTGTGTTAAAATGAGATAAAATAAATAATATATATATATATATATATATATATATATATATATATATATATATATATATATATATATATGGGATATGTTATTCTACCTACTCTCATTTTACCTACCTTTGTTTACCCCTTTCATTACCTTTGGATTACAATATAATCTAATGGTCTATATTTGTGAAATAAAATAAACTCTTTTTCCCTTTCTTTCTCCTCACTTTCTTTCACACTCTTTCTCTCTCCTCCCTTTTCTCTCTTCCTCTACGCCATACCTTTTTTTTTCCTTCACCGATGGTGTCTGCCTACATGTCTGATTGTTTAGTTTTAGATTATGATGTGTCCAAATAATGTGAGACCTTCAATTACGTTTGTTGCGGTTGGAGAATTTCACCTAAATTTAGATGTGTAGATTAGTATTGAATCTGATGTATTCTAGAAACATTTTCATAAGCTTTGTTCTTTTTAGATTGACACCTTAATCTGAAATAGCATTCACCATTTTATTCAGACAAGTCACTCAAAAATTAATTCCTACAAAATCTGAAAGAGGTCCACGACAGACACCAGCGATGAAGGAAAAAAAAAAAGGTATGGCGTAGAGGAAGAGAGAAAGGATGTAGGAGGAAGTGAGGAGAAAGAAAGGGAAAAAAAAGTTTATTTTGTTTCGTAAATATGGACCGTTACATTAGATTGTAATCGAAAGGGGAAAGCAAAATGAGAGTAGACAAAATAACTTATCCCTATATATATATTATTTCATGTTTGATGTATTTTAAGAATAAATCAGAACAGGACATGAGTCAAAATCCATGAAATTTTTTTTTATTCATTTTGTTTCAAGGGATGGATCGACTTATCACGGAAAAAGTTTATCACTCTTACAATTAATTTAATCGCTGTTGATTTCCATCAATCTAACGGTTATAATTTATTAGAAATTAATAATTAATTAATAAGTGTGATCCAATAAATATTAATAATTTCTAATAAATTATAACCGTTAAATTGACGAAAATCAACGGTGATTAAATTGGTTGTAAAAGTGATAAATTTTTTTGGTGATAAATATATTCCTCCCCTTGTTTCAAAAATAATTTTTTTGTATTATGCGAAAAAAAATTGTTAAATGAAAAACAATAAAATTAATTTTTCGCCACCAGTTTTTATTAGTTTAAGACCATTTAACCAAACTCATAGTTCGATTATCTGAATTGTATATAGACTGAATCATATCACTAATTAGCAATAATTTCCTCAACCAGCGTTCATTTTGCTTGAGAAAGCATTCAAGTCAGTACAATATTAATTTTACTTTTCACCAAAAGGAAAATAATATCATTGGTATTGGGGTGGAAGAAAAACATATCATTGGATTCATGCATGTCAGCATGTCGTGTCAAGTTCTGATCCGTGGGGTAAATTGTCACCCTCTAGCAGTGTTTTAAAATTCAGACCGATCATCGATTCAGTCGAGGTCCTGGATCACTGGTCATTGATTCAATCGGGTTCAATCGAATTTATTGTTCACATATTAAAAAAATTAAATATATTATTTATATTAAAAATTCACATAAGAAAACTATTAATGAGCTTCAAAAAATAAATTGGTTCTTAATGATAGCAAATATTATATACTTATAAGTTTCAAGCTCTAGAGCATATCTTAACATTGGATTAAAATTACAATGTAAGCTAAATGTAACTTTTGTGCCTTGATATAACATAGATAAACTAAATCATGATAACAAATAGTAGACATGAAATATACACTAAGGAGCTGTTTGGTAGGAGTAATTTTTTTAGAATGATAGGAAAGTTAAAGTGGGATTTATTGATACCCATGTTTGATAGGAGTTTTCACAATATTTGTCCAGCTATCTGATTTGCCCTGGATTTCAAGTTATGTACAAATTGTGAATTTATTCCCTTCTCAAAATACCACCAAATGGGTGGTATTTTTCATTTACCGGATGAAGGATTTGAAGACACAATTTTTTGGACAAATGTGCCCTTCGTCTTCAGACTTCATTTCTTCGTCAGACTATCAACGACATACTTATGCTTATTTCTTCATTTCTTCATCTGTAAAATTGCTTTCTCTTTGACTTTTTTCCTTGCTTGTCCACTACAAATATAGGTTCATTTTTACTTGTTTTTTTGTAGAACTTGTGCGCTGTTATTACAGCCATCAAAAGAAATTGATGGATGCAGACGAGAGGGCAAAAAAGAATTTGAATCCAGCCACCAAAAAATGTAAAATAGTAGAATTGGTTAGTCTCATATTTAATTATCGATTGTAGTAATTGGAACTGGAAGCTTGGAAAATAGTAAGATCGGACAGTAGGTACTAGGTAGGAGAAGCAAGAGAAGTAGCTTGTGCAATCACAAAATTCACAGATGAACCCAGAAAGAAAAGGAACAAAGAAAGAGAGTTGCCTGCGACTTGGAAGAGGAAGAAGATGAATCCAGATAAGGGAAGAGAGGTGGAGCATATTCAATCCACTGTTTCTCACTGAAAAACATTCATTATCATTTTAAAAAAAATAAAGTGAATCTGAGGTTATTTTTGTAAATTAACCCAACATTTCCACTAATATTTCACAATCAACCAAACAAAATTCAGTAAATTCAACCGAAAAATTCCAGTCATATTTTCGCATACCAAACAGCTTTTTTATAACATTCCCGGATACTTCGCTTTCATACTATATTCTTGGTAATCATGATTCTCAGGCATCCAAAAATTTCTCTTCTACCAAACGCCCCATAAGGAGAAAGTTTCTACCAGATGAGACCATCAGAGTTTATCCTCACTTAACTTCTTTAGATCATTATAAGATACAACTATATTACATAAACGAACTACACTAATCCAAAATACCTCTTATTTTCACCTTACTTTTTAATCATATTTACCACAAAATATGATCATGATTTAATTCAAGAGTTCATAGCAACCAAAAAAAAATATTTACAAAAAAAAGGATGGTCAACCGGTCTAACCCGGGTCAACGAGTCGCCGGGTCTCGGCCGAGTCAACCGGTCCAAATCGAATTGACTGCACAACCGATCCAAAGGACCACTCGGATC